AAACGTAATTAATCGTATAATTCATAAGTATAACTTAATCCATATATATTAGGTTTCGTCAGAGGTCATTTAGCTATTCCCACCATTTATGAAGCTACCGCATGAAAGCTTTAAAGATTAGATATAGCACCAACAAGGTACACATATGCCTTGATGATATGATTTATACTATTTAATACTATTTACTATACCACAGCAGATTTCTTGAATTACGAGTGACTTATCACACAATATCGAAAGAAAATGTAAAAACAGCAGTAACTGCTGTTTTTAGGCTTCAATCGTGAGCTTCTTAGCAAGAAAAAAAAAAAACAAGTAAGATTTGGCATCTAATTTGTATCAGTTATTAGAAACAAGGGATGATGGTATTTATTAAATTCAAAAATAAATATATTTAGGAAAAGTTAATCTTTCATGATGAACTATTAATTTCATAAAACAGAAATACCTGAAAGTATTATCATTTACTCCACTTGCACCAGCAATCGGCTGTGAACGATGCATTTGTGATGAGAGTGTTGGACGTGAGGAGGATGCAATGGTACATAAACGATGCGAACTGTACTGACGTTCCTCTATTCTAGAAGTTTCTGGACGACGTGCAACTCCTACATGAGTTCCCGTTGCAGCAGCTAAACGAGATGAATTTGAAAGTGGTGTAGATGGTGCAACAACTTGATGTTCACCGATACCGCGGCGTTGACCAATTCGTCCGGAACTAAGACGAAACAGCTCACGTAAGAGATGTTCGTTATTTTCTGTTCCACCACTTACATTTTCATTGATTTGAGGGAGGACCTGAAAAGTAAGATGAGAAGTATACGCAAATAAATATGAAAAAAATGCTGATTGATTAATTCCATTACAGTGTTCTATCAAAAGATAATTAAACATTAAAAAACTAGAATTGAAGCAATCGAAAGCTAAAAAAATTACCTACCGATCCCATACGCAATGGCGCAGTAGGACGAAGATTTTCTGTGCTTTGTGTTGAATCACTGAAAAAATATTGAAATAAAAGCCAAATTTTTTTTGAAAAAATGAATACAACCATGAAGGATTAATAAAATATTCATTAGTAGAACTAATCAGCAAGACTGTTCATTACAGCAAAATATGAACACACTCCCGTCTAAAACTACAACATGAAAACGATACCTTGAAACACTTTCTGCATCGGAATCTTTGACACTTTGTGAAGTCACCATTTGATTCGCATAATCATTATCTTAAAATTACTCAAGTTAAAAACATCAGATAAACTACCATGGACGGAAAGAGCACCGCCCTAGAATGACAATGAAATATAAGATTCTGCCACTTTCTACCGCCATGTGTTTATATGAAATTGTATATAAATGGTGAAAAGTTCAAAATTACTGTCGGTCGAAAAGTATAGCTAATAATGAAGATAAAATCAATCGAACTGCAGCTAATCTGACTGAGATGATAAAATGAATTAAATGATGCATAATTTCCATGTTTGAAAAAAGATTGCTGAAATCAAATGAACAAGTTCCCTTGGATGAAAAAACTGTTTATTAACGACATGAATAAATATATGGTACAGATTAAAATCCAATAATTTCCAAATACTTTTAAGTATATTTGTTTTTGTAATAATTAACCGCTAACCAACAACATAAGTTCCTGCTTCGCTTAATGTATCATCAGTATCTGGCTTCCTTCCTCCTTGTTCGCATGATGCAATCAAATCTAGCCCTTCATCGCGTTCTGAAAGATAACTTACAACTGATATAGCAGTATTCGAAATAGGCCCGAACTCAATATTTCTTTCCTGTTTCAAGTTCAGGAAACTTTTATCTTAACCCAAAAGATGACTAAGGAGCTTTGATACTTTCAATGAATTACAGAAGTTGTACGTTAATCAAAGTTCTAAAATTTTTTGGAGAGCTACCATATCAAAACGTGATTCCGAACTCAGCCCATGCTTATATTTTCCCAAATAACTAAATAAATTAAAATTTAAATCTATCTTACCTTCGCCAACTCCCATCAACATCTTATTCAGCAAATACTGTTTTGGATCACTGGATGCAGCTGTTAAACCGGCTATTTTTGCTGCAGTACCTTTGGAAACTAACCCAGCTGCTGGCATACTTCTCCTTATAAAGCGCCTAGAAATATGCACTTTCCATGCTTATCAGTTATTGCTATGCGTGATCAATCTTTTTACTAAAGGTCGTAAATAACATGTTGCAAATAGTTGAAATACAGATATACATTCTGATCTACTCTAAATAAATGACAGAAGTAAAGATGGAATTAAAGATGGAATTAAATTTTAAAGATGGAATTAACCATTTGGAAATGAAGAAAATCTGCAAACAGCGCTACAGCCATGTGCATCAAATGACGATCAGCAAAATTTTAAAACGATTTTGCCTACCTGGATGAAGTTTTCTTAGCAGCATCTTGAAGTGATAAATTTACTTTCTGCGAATCTCCCTCATTATCAAAGGAAACAGTAAATGCAGTTGAAGACAATGCACGCTGTGAAACTGCAAGTTTCCAATTAACATTAAAGTTAAATGAGAATCCGAATTTGAACTACCGGTAGTTTAAATCCACAAGACTCCTCGTTCGGAATATTAATACTTAGCAGCTTAATACTAAAACTAACCTTTAGCTTTATTCTCTTTTTTTGCTTCGTCATTGATAAAAGGCTCATTTAAGTCAATGTCCATCCTAATTGATTTTAATGGCCGATGAGTAGTTCCAAGAGCTGTACACCTATAATAATGAAAATTCTTGTTTATATTTCAATCTGAATTCATTTGCTTAAATTAATTTAAGGAGTAAACATCGTCACTTGTAACAATAAAGTTATTTTTATAATAAATGCATATGAAAAACCGTAATTTTGTAGGCAATTAAAAAGCAAGATGCAGGGAGCCTAAAAAATCCGGAGCCCAAAAAGAATCCAAAGAAATTTTCAGACACTTCTCCCATTACACTTACTCTTCGTGTTGCAAACAAATTCCATAAAACAAACCAAAGACATGAAGAAAGACATAAGTAAAAAATTATTAATATTAGCATATGAGAAATTTAATTTCTGATTCGAAAAGAAATTGGGAATGTTACTTAACAAAAAAAAAATACAGGCCGGCAAGGACATTGAATAGTAATTTGAACGTTTTTACCTCGTGTTATCACCATCAGTTCGCACTTGTACATTGGAAGCACCATTTTCACCCCACCATGACGGTGCGGTACCGAATAATGGCGTCCTTTCACCTCCTTCCGTTTGAGCCTGCAGAAGAATCACTATTATCAACATATCCTTAGTATCATTGCCATGCTAATTTTAAATACTTAAAGTTGATGAACTTCCGTTTTTCTCCAGTAAGTGTCATTTTATCTTTACATATCCAGAAATCTTTAATAGAATCATCCTTGCTTTTTTAATCCAATTCGTTTCAAAAAATCTGACATCACTATAATCAATCAAAGTATATGCATCATAGTTCTATAGTATTCACGTCTCAGTCTCTTACTGGTATGATTTTATTTCCTATGGTAATTATTTAAGCAGATAACTTATTCGTAAAATAGATATTTAAGAACTTTTCGAGCTTACTTCATAAAGATATAAAATATGATATAATATTTGACATTACAAACTCTTCATTCGTTGTGGGATGCTGTAATTCTGAAGTCACTATTGCTGATGAAAAGTCATGCGAAATCTTATAAGTTTTCATTCCATAGAAAGTTTCATAATATATTTACATGTCCTATGGTGGCGACATTAATGGAAATAGCTGGATTACTAACAGCTTCTTGATATGTAACGGCTTCTTGCGGGCGCACTTGTGTGGGAGTTTTTTGCGGCATAGTTGCCACATTATCAAATATTGAGCAGTTCTGGGACAAAACAGGTGATGATTGTGGCGGTGAAATGGCTAAAAATGATGTCTATGATATATTCCACGTAATTAAGAAGAAAACACTTTAAGTTCCATAGTTTATGATTCCGGACCCAATGACTAAAAATAAAATTCATAAAAACAAAAATGGTTAAGAAATTATGAATTAAAATATGTTGGTTAAGGAATTATGAATTAAAAAAAATAAATTATGGATTGAAATTTACAATTTTTTGAAGCAAAGATTTGTTTTGTATCTATCGTATGACTTCTTGTCGTAGATATTAGTGGATGCTCGAAAACCGTATGTCTTTCATCGGTTGTTACCGCTGATCTGAAAGCAAACAGATCGGTACTGCGTGAAAATAGATCATGCAAAAATTCTTGATTACTATATGTACATATTGACTGCGCTACAATTGCGATAACTGGTAAAATCGTGTGCAAGAAATAATTTATTAGATAAATTTATTGTAGTAAACTAATTTAATCTCGAAGATAAACTACAATTATTTTTCTAGCTAATATTTGATTCTGAAATCATGAGACTTCAGCAGAAAAAGACTCACTTTGTGTCATCGAAATCAGCGACATTGCGAACAAAACATGCAGTGGTGCTTTGAGCGGCCGTCGACGGTGGTGGAGTTGAAGAAAAACGCTGTCCAAGTACCATATGTGACGACGCTACTTGACTTCCGGTTTGGGAAGTAGTTATTGGTGTAGCAGCTACGACATATGCACCTGTCAAATACGATAGTAAAGAATCCATTTCACTCTTCAAATTTTTATTTGGGCAAAAATAGGGCCAAAAACTTCAACATATTTAGAAGAAACAGGTAAGATAATTCAAGAAAAACTGAATTTTTCAGCATAAGAATTTTTAAAACTTAGAGCAATCTGTGAAGCGAAAGAGTACAAACAGGAGTTACTTCTTATTTGTCTTCAAGCAGCGCTAGAATTATAGTATTTTATATTCTTATCTTCGTATTAATCATGATAAAAGCACTAAATATAATTTATAGCAAGAAATTCTAATGACTAACCATGAGTTCCGGATGTAAAAGGATGATAATAAACAGGTTGTGCCGGTGTAGTAGAATAATAAATCGGTTGGTAGATTATTTGTGGATGTGGCGGTGGTGGTGCAGAAGACACCAAAAAATGCTGACCGGTTGTTGGATCGATCAAAATCTGATGACTACCGAGTGGAGCAGCAGTTGGTGTACATCTTTAAACTTTAAATTCAGTATATATTGAAAATTTTAAAACTCAAAACGTACCAGGTAAATTTCCTATTCCATCAAAGAGTTGGAAATTTTCAGAATTTACGAAAATTTAATCACCAAAAATACTTGCCTAGCCTATATTTCAAATTCATTTCTCTATTGGTCTCATGATATAGCCAATAAATGAATTTCTTGATAAGGTGTCGTTTGAATTTTAGAGAAAAAGTGCTACAGAAAATCTTGGTGATATCATAACTGAATGGAATTTAGACAAAAAAGGAAATTAAATTACAATTCGAAATTAAAAGCTATTGGCAAAATGCACAATTCTAATAATAGTATGCCTAATATTGCCATGTACAAATTTATTTCATGAGTGTAAAAAAATGAATTAGGATAGTTAATATAAATAAATAACACTTTTTTTTTCTTTGGAGAGAAGCATAAGTTTAAATTATACTCATCGACGACAACGATTTCGTTATTCTTATTCAATCATTCGATACATCAAAAACAGCATTGTAAGAACTCTGTGCTGAATGGAAATTTTTTTTTTTAATGTAATTATCATCACTTAAGTTATATTCCTTATAAGTTATCAGTCATTATATTCATATAGTTCATTTTCATTAAGATTGAAAAAAATATTAGGAAAAATTAACTTACATTTGTGACAGTGTGACGGGTAATGTATTAGTAGTTTGTTGACTAGTAATAGTTGCTGGCGATGTTGCCGTTGTAATGTCGTGCATCAGCGATACTGGAGGCGAAATCGATGAATGCGTCGAACCAGCGCCAGGACTACTTTCCTGATTCTCAGAACCCTGTAAAAATGAACATGTTAAAAAAAAGATTACCGAAGAAAAAAGAATGTATAAGACTAGTAATCAAATCATTTCATCAATTTTATGAAAAGATTAATCGCACATGCCATCATATAATAATGAATACTGGTCAATTCTTCTCCTCCTTATTGTATTTATCCCAAATTCATTCCCAAAAATTTGAGAAATAGTAGCAATTTGACATTTCACTGAAATCGAATTAAATCCAAAAACCATATTTCAGGAACTTTTTTCATTCAATATAAAAGTCTTAAAGTTTAAGCATAATGCCACATTATTTTCTAAAACCATTCAGGTTCATTTTTGCAACAAAAGAAACTCCCACATATGTTAACGAAGAATCAAAAACCGTTTATCAAATGTTAATCAGTCGGTAATTAAACTGAAAAAATAATTTGGTATACTCTAAAAATCAAAATCATTAATTCATTCTCTGCTTAAAAATTATTGGAGACTGGACAGATTTTCCTTTAAAGTCATCATTGAAATCTAAAGTAATCATTTGGACATCAATTAAACATAATGGAAAACTTCTCTTAAGATATAAATTTCTCCCTCTTCACCCAAATTTTCATCTTTTAAATTCAAATTTCAATGGTTTATTTTTTCTGAAAATTTTCCATCATTTTTTGCGACATTCAGCTAAATATGCTCAGAATTGGCGATAAAATTTAGTATTTCTTTAGGATATAATTGAGGGAACCGATTAAACACAAAACCAATCCAAACCAGATTTTTTAAAATTATTATCAATATGATGGTAATATCGTATTTATTTTCAATTTAAAGAGAAATAAAATATTTTCCGGCTCGAAAAACGGAGAAATTTTAACCAGTTAAACTCTACTGAATTAACAGTATCCAATATAATTAAATACTCATCAACATTATGAAAATCTCACACATAACCACAATTATGTAGGTGCAATGCTATTAACATTACGCCCGACTATAGTTTACCGAATATTTTAGATTAAAATTTTTAAACCTCTGCTAATCCTCAGTCAAACTTATGAAGCATTGTGTTATCACTAAATTATTTTCAAATACCAAGACCATAAAAGAGGTTTAGGAACTTTTATTGTTATAATTCAAAAATTTTAAAAACCAATTTGATAATTTCTTTATTCATTTTCCCTGATTTTTATCAGTTTCGCCATTGTTAGTTTATCCAAAATTTCCAAAAATACTACCAGATTTAAAAAAAAAAATTGAAAATGTAAACTTATTTAAATGTTAAATGCTAAACAAAAATATTCGATATCTAAAAGACATAAAAACTGTATAAATATATGTAATAATACAATTTTCTCAACTAATCAAAGTTTTTGAGATGTTTTATGATAAGAGACGATTTCTAGAACTTATGACATGATTGATGATAAATAAATTTTCAAGGAAAAATTATTCTCACTCTCTTTTCTCACTAACAAATGCAATATTTACCACATCACCCCTATATTAAAAGTGCCCTTTTTTACATGAATGCATTTTTAGAAATTTTGTAGAAAAATGAAATAATAATTTGTTCCCCTTCCACTTTTTCACTTATATGGTCGTTTGTATATGTGTATCATATGTTTCAAATGAATTGGAAAGATGTAGAATGGATTGATAAACTGTGAATGAATACAACTTATCAATGTTGAAATTTGGAGTGGAATAAATGCAACAATATAACAAGTAATGATCATCCATTGTTAGGATGTCATTCATTTATAGCATGCGATTAGAGCACCATCGGAAAATGAGCTGTACTAAATGTTTAAACACAATCTCGGTGATAATCAGTAATAGCTTCACCAACAATATATTAAACGATAAAAGATAGTAAAATGGTGAAACGCTTTTTTCCCAAAGATAGTTGTGTATGAATATGTTTGGTTTGATAAACGCTACTGAAAAGAGATAAAAACGATGGCAAAAAGGCAGTAGGATGAAATAGTTATAATAAGATAAAATATGTAACATCATCTTAACGAAAATATCATTAAAAGAAGTAAGAATTAGTAGAAAGAGATATAGAGAAAAAGAGAGGAAAGAGAGATGATTAATTAATTAAATGACCTTGTCACATGTATCATTTATATAATTTTTCTAAAAAGAAAAAACAATTAGTAAAAAAATCAATACCGCTACTCTTGCATGAGATATTTGATTCCAGTAAACTTATTCATTTTTGATCACTTTACGAGGTTTTTCAATTACAGGTAAATTATTATGGAATTAGGAATATGCTAAACAACCGGATTGCCAATTAAATTGTAAAAGAAACAGTAAGTATAGCGGCTCATTATCATTCAACAGCAAAGATTTATTGGTTGTAATCTCATATTAAAAAATTGCCTTCATTTTCTTTGAATTTTATATATATAAGAATCATTTTCATATCATACTGCTTTAAGTTTGGAACAAGTGCAAGATGTACATCTTTACAAAAGAAAGGGCTGGTTTCTTCTACACCACAATATGTAATTAAAACATATACAAGAAAAAAATGAATAACAAAAATGAACGGACCCACTTTTCGAAAATCTAAACGCTCCTTTCTATTCATCCATGAAAAGAAATGAAAAAAATGATACTTTTTGCAATTTAAATTACCAATATTAGTTAATGAATTTTCACGTTCTTTCTTACTACTCTTTATTCTTCATTACAAACATAAAGATTCTTTTTTCTCACTTTCGATGATTTTTCAAAAGAAAGGAAATAACGAATTTTAATCATTAGGTACAAAAATGCTGTACTTGGAAAAACGGAAAGATGTTATAAAAGACGAGAAACACAATATGAGTTAAATATAATTAACATGTCCTTGACAAATAGAATTCAAGGATCCATTTTTCACCGAATTGATTATGAAAATTAATTAAATCCATACCGTTTTTGGTGTACATTTACACTATAAATAGGAGGTGTATAAATTCCCAGAATTCTAACAATTAATTTGGCTAAAACATGCGCAGTAAACAATATACTATAATGCTAAAACTTCATCATATTGACTTTTCCCTTAGAAATTTTGATAAAATTTAGCAAAAAATAAAACAAAATTTATTTTTATTTTTAAGTTTGAATTTAGTAATAAAAGAACGATGCTTTAATGGCTCTAAACTTGAAAATAAGACTTCAAAAATTGTCGTAAAAAATAACTCGTTAATCGTTACAGCAATTATTAGCCCACCCGCTTCTTTATTTATCAAATTCATTAATTATTATATCCTTGTTTGTTGGATATAACAAATGAGTACTGCTCACCTGCATGAAAGTATCCACTTTGCGTGGTGTATCCTCTTCAGCTCCTTGTATATTCCCACCAATATTCAGTGAATTAACTGAGTTCATTATTTTATCGAAATCCTTTTCGGCGTTTAGATCTAAAAAAACGATAGAATAAACAATAGAATGCATGATTTTCTAAAATGCAGTTTATAAGTTTATATTGCATTACGCAACATTATATTATACTATCTATGTCGTAATACTGTATTTGTAGAATTTAAGATCGTGGAAAGTTAAATAACCACATAAGATTTGTTCTACAAACCACTTTCAATTCAGGGTCAGCACTGTTCAAAAACAACCGAACAGTTTCATTTTATAACTTCTATTTTACAAAATTAAAATCACGTAACTTTATGCTGTTATTGAGATCGTTATTTCTAAAAAGCACTTATCGGTCTTCTAATGTATTACACAACACTTTACTGGTAAAATTGAGAAACATTTCATTCACTGCAGGCAGCGAAAGTTAATGATAAAAAGATTGCTTGTCAAACTTAGAAAAAATGAATAAACACCCAAAAAATTTCGAAAAAACGATAGGAGTGCAAAATTTTCGTACGGTAAGTTTTCTATATATAAAAATATAAAATCTAAAACTGTAAACTTCCGATGATTTTTCCCGTTTCTTATTTCTACACTTTGTTTTCTCTTAGAATAACCGAGTAAGATATGGTAATCAATTTAATAATTCATAAAAATCGGAAAGTTATAAATTATAACTCACCCAAATGATGACACTTATGATAGAAGTATTGGTGTTTTGTATGCAAAGACCAATTAAATTTAAAAATCATCTTTCCTCTTCCTCTTTTTCAACCTCTGTCTTCTTAGACAATAAATTAATAGATTTTCAGCGTTTTTTTTTTAATTGAATTGAAGGATCAATTCTGGTTTTCTTGAAAAGTAAATGAAAAAAGTACACTGGCAACAGTAATAAAATTGATACCGTTATGGTAATGACAGTAAATATGTAAGAGAACAGTGGTGTGATAGAATAATAATATGTATCACTGTTTCAGTTGTAGAAATGTGCTGTGATATTATCGTTTACAAATATCCAAATAACCACCGAAAATTTTGATTGAACGAGCAAAACAATCTAATCAGCAGATGATTTACTATTAACTGGTAATATGGTTGAGTGGCTTGGATGAAGCACGATATAGCCGAAAGCGAAGTGATACAGAGTTGGAGTTATGATAAAGAAGCAAAAAATTGTACTATTTGATTTTTCGAATGTTTGCTATATATAGAAGAATCGAAGAGAGGAAGAAAGGCTTCCAGTCATCTTATCTTTTTTGATTTCTGCTATCTCCAAATCAGTAGCTCACCTATCTGTATAAATTTAACTAATATCTCTGCTATCTTTATAAGCTGAATACACAAAAATAAAATTATGCAAACCGAATGTATGTACAATTTTAAAATAAACAATTGATTTAAAATACAACTAGTAATGGAAGGTATATAGTAAAGAAAATGATAAAGTAAAAAAAAACTATGAATACAAGTTTCATATAAATACAAGTTTCAATGAAAACTGGTGAAACTATTTCAGGGGCTTCATCGCAAGAAACAGTAGGACGAACATAGAAAATACATATAATACATGCACAAGCTCTGAGTAACGTACAGAGAGATGATAATTAATGATGCAGTTGATTGGATGCGGTTCTGAAGATTATGATATTAGTGAACATGTTGAAGAACACATCAAATGAATGAGAGACGATAGAATGGGAACAAAGAGCAGTCAGAGGAGAATAAAAAGATTGAAAAATTAGGTTGTTGCAGTAGTTAGAACAGAATAAAAAGATTGAAAAATTAGGAAAAAACTCTACACTTAAAATATTTTTTTGCGGATGCACAACAATAATACAGTAATAAATGAAGAATTCAACCTGAAGATTCTAGAAAATTTTCAACACTTCCGTATAGCATCTTTTATCAGTTTTTTTTCTCCAACACACCTCCCTTCTCGGTTTCATTCCCTCTACATATACTCTATTCTCTTACTACTTCTTACCTGAAACAATTTTCAGATATTCTCTGAATATTAAGCTCAAACTTCCTTGTCCTTTTTTCAAATCTACCCTATCTAAATATGTCACTTTTCAAACATATCAAACATGGATTTTTGATAAATAATTTGCATATTTTGGACCGAAACTAGTTTAGAATTGAAAAAAACCTCCTTTTTTCACTTGATATTTAAATCAAATAAAAATAAATTTATAACTTTGTCGCAGCATATGTGATCATTCTTTCGAAAAATTACGACAAACCAAATATGCTTCGCAAGAGAATAACTCCTACTATTTGTACTGTTGCTACAATAACTTTGTTCGTTACAATATGATTAATTAAAAAAGGAGTAAAAAAATATTGTTATAGCTAACAACTACCGTCACTACTAATGCCATCCACTAGCTACTACAGTGCCGCTTTTAATTGAAATAAATAGAAGTGTTCATCTTTACTCATCTTTACGTACTCAAAGCAATTCAACGAATCTTTCTCAATTCTTCTTATCTAAATAAACTAGCTTGTAATATTAAAAAAAAAAAAAACAAATGAAGACGATGGAGCCAAACCTTGCAATCTGATATATTGAGTTACAAATTTAGTTCTTCACAACATGCTATTGGATGTTGATTAATAAAATATAATTTAATGGAATAGTTTTTTTTTTTTTTTTTTGTATTACTTGTCAACCCCATTCACTTGACACAAATGTACAACAAATTTTCTATTAACCATATAAGATGAAATAGAAAAATAACAATTTATAAGGAAATTTAGAATTCTTCCAGCTTTACGTTAATTTTCAAATAATAAATCAATATAAGGTTAGGAAATCTAATAGTTTGTTAAAGAAAATCTGGAAGTCTTCTATCTTTGAAATTAAATTCATTTTAAATAATCGAAGATTTTCACTAATGTTAATAGATCCTTCACGAAAACTTCTGCTTTGCATTACTTAAACATGTCAAGGACGCTGGTTGAAAAAGCAAAAAATTATTACACTCGATGAGAGAAGCATAAATGAATGATTTCATTGCTCTCGAAAAATTCAAATTATTATCACTTTTAGAAATATCATCAAATCACAAGAGAATCTTTTCCAACTACTTTCGATGGAAAAAATTTTGCCTCGATTGTAATTTCCGATGTTGTAAAAAGATTGAAATTAACCTCATTAAATAACGAAATTATCATTTATTTATGATAAAAACCACTCTATCATAAGTCACTTTTAAATTTCCCAGCATATATGGAATATCTAACATGAATTTAATTCTTATAGAGTTAACAACAAATTTTCAATCAATTTTAAATTATGTCCTTAATAGATTAACATCTTTAGTAGAACCAAATACATATGGAAAATAGTTTTAAAAGAAAGAAACTTTTAATAATTTTATTAAGCAATTCAATAACCTAAGATAATTCCATTAACTTAATTTTAGCAACTTAATTTTTTTTATAAAGACAGGACAATATTTTAAAATTCTCTTTCCCAAAAAAGAGGAAAAACAACACCCAACACTTCGTTCCAATGAACTTAGAATTTTTCTAATTTAAATAATTATATGAATTTTATGTAACAAAGTATTTTCCCAACTAAATTCTTCTTGTAATTTCTAAATGCAATAAGTTTTTGCAATAACTCTACTGACTTCAATAATATTCACTCCATTATTGATTGTTATTGTCTTATTGAAATCTTAATTTATAGTTTCGAAATCTAATTATGAAGCAAATTATATATTAGACATCTTTGTACAACTTATTTCATGCGACTGATGCCTAATCTGCGACATACCTAGTAGAAACGCAATATTCCCTAAAACAAAATTACTTATTTCACAATTTATATCAACTGAAACTTTATTATATGCAATGTTATCTAACTGTTATTCTGTTAATTACTTTATGTCAGATCAATTCTCATTATCCTGTGTCTCTAAAATCCCATTTAAATTAAACTTATTATTCCTTATTTAACACTTATCTGAACCTTATTTAACACTTATATACTTCATTTTCTTTGCTTACTCATATTTAAACTGGTTTTAAGAAATTAGAAAAACCTATCCACAAACAATAACTTACCTGCAATATGCAGACTTTGAGGTCTTGTGAGCGTTGCTCCATTACATAATGACGGAGGTATTGAAAAATGGAAACTCTGAAAAAATACACATATATAATATACAATCATCGACTTTCTGGATGACAACAAACAGACATTCAATAGGAAGCCTTTATGTCTTTTGAACTATTAGCTGCGTACATGGAATTGTACATTGCAAAAATTGTCGTGAACAACAATGCTTTGTTTGGTCATCCATTCGGCAAAGAAGGAAACTTCCGAAGACTATCACACACAGTGAAAAGTGAAATAACGCATACTTCAAAATTTATTAAAACAGTAATAATACTAGCACGAAATTTACTTTGGCTTGAGAGTAAATTTTGGCAATTCACTCGTTCTGAAATTCAAGGACTAACTGAATATTTCTAACCAAAAAACACCTAACTACTACATAAAATATGAGAATGATTTATGTTGAAACATTTTAATGCTTCTAGTCTTTAGAAGACCAAAAAACATCAAATAAATGTCGGCAAAAACTTCAAAAATGAGTAAAGTCCATCAGTATACAAGACATGTGTAAAAGACTTACGAATTTAAATACAAAAAAAGAATTTAAAGACTTGAAAAGCAAAAAAAAACTGCACAACATTTAGGAAAAACAAAACAAAGACTGTGGAAGAAAATCGAGAATGGTTGAAAGTAAAGAATTCTAATTCAAAAGCATTAATTTGATTTTACATTATAAACAATCTTCGGAAGTATATGAAATTATGGGAATATTTTTCCCCCAGAATTTGATCACTATAAAATCTGAAACAGTCAAAATCTGAATTTTAGCACCATGCAGAAAGGAACTGTCAGATGTGATATGGATCAAAGTATAATACTGGAAACAAATACCACAATTTATTCACTTTATCATATATCATAAATCCTTCTTTTAAAATTCTTTTTTCTTATATTTGTCTAATTATTTGTAAACTTTAATATTCTTTTGTAGATTATAAAAAATAGATTATAACAA